ATTATTTAATTGGACAGAAGATGTGATGAGAGGCTGAAACAGTTCATTTTGTCATTGTTTTGGAACACACAAACTTATTTGGCTAACATATTCATACTAAAGCTAACAAACATTTTGATTTCAAGGGGCCTTTAACTTAGTCAAGTAGAGTTTACTTAACCACATAGTTCACTTTAAAATTAATTTTTGATATGTTTTAGCTTACCTCAAGGGCATCCAAGATGTATTGTGTCTTTGTTTCCACAGTATTTTCAATTTTGATATTTTTCGGTCAAACCGTTGTTGTCTATCAGTCATATAATGCCGGTTTAGGGGGTCCACCATCGGTTCACCTCAAAGAGCATGCACAGAGAAGTCCAAATTAAACATGATTTAACGACTCGTAAATGTAAGTACACATTGATGGCCTAAGACACGAAACGAGCGGTTTGTGTGAGAAAACGAACAGTATTTATATCGTTTTACCTCTTGTAATCAGTCACGTCCGCGCTTCTGTCCAGAAAGCCCCGGAAGTTATCTCTCGTGCTTGTACATCACTCATTGTTCACACAGAGATTTCACTGTGAAGATATAACCATATTTAGATATACAGGAAATTGCAATGGAAGATGATTTCGATATATCAACAGACAACATTCATTTTTTTTTTCGCACCCGCGCAAGAGATCATTTCCGGGGCTTTCCGGCGCTTGCGCAGACCGAAGCGCCCGTGCCTTCTGATCACTTGGACGTGGCTGTGGTTACAAGTGGTAAAAACGATATACCGCTCGTATACAAACTGCTCGTTTCGTGTCTTAGGCCATCAAAGTGTACTTACATTTAAGAGTCATTAAATCATGTTTAATATGCACTTCTCTGTGCATGCTCTTTGAAGTAGTCCCCATATCCCTCCATTATATGACTGATGGACAACAACGGTTTGACCTAAAAATATCAAAATTGAAAATACTGTGACAGACACATACATCTTGGATGCCCTTGAGGTAAGCTAAAACATATCAAATTTTAATTTCAAAATGAATCCCATATGTGAATTTTACTCAGTGTACTAGATATTTTTGTGATATTTTGTGAATAAGGTCTATTGCAACTTTTGTTTCATGCTTACTTTAATCAAGCTTTTGAACTTGAATAAGGACCTGTATAATAAATTCAGTGCACCTTTAAATCATTCAATCATATATAAAAATCCAAAACCCAACCAACCAATAAGCCCAGTATGGCAAGGCCCACAGCTGTAATGGCAGGTCAGAGAACTGAAGTCAGTTTTTAACTCTGAGCAGTAAATCGGCCTGTCCAAAACACACCATGAAAAGAGGCAACAATAACTTCAGATATTTTCTTCTCCCAAAGACAAACATCATAATTAAAGACGATGGCAGTAAAATGACAGGCACCACTGACTTATGTAGTTTCATAATGTTACTGTTGGAGGAATGTGAATTTCAAGTGCTTTATTAGAGCCTCTCTCTCTCGTCTGCAGTGTAAAGATGGAGTGAACTCCCTCAGCTTGAAACACATTAGCTACCGCATCTGTGGGGAACAAGGGCCTTTTAATAGACCCTCTGGTTGTAAAGTAACTCATGTGGAACGAGTTTTTAATGTTTGATATGTATGTAATATAATATTAGTTCACTTACGATGGTCCAGGAGTGGCTCTTTCTGTGTGAATCTGCATGAAATCGGTGTCTGGGCTCAGGCGGTAAATCACTCTGGTGCTGTTTGTCAAGGAATTACTCGCATAAGAGTGTAAAGTGATTTTCTTTTTTCCTGGTGCATATCATTTTTTCAAATTTGATTTATTTTAGAGGTGTCTGAAACATAGCATGGACTATATTACTTGTAAATCTATGAATTATCTGTGAGAATAACACACAACAAAATATGATGCTGCATGGATAAGTTGGTGTGAGATGATGGATATAAAGATGATAGATAGATAGATTTGATCAGTTTTATTATCTTTAGTGTTTTTATTGTAATTACTAAACAAACAAGTATAAAATTATAATGTCACTAGGGCAAATTATTCTATTTATCCCCTTTACAAATTATGTTTCATTCATTGTGTGTATATATAAATATAAATCGCCGTTTTTCCAATGTGGTCTCAGACTTTTGGAACCATTGCATATCAAAGGGAACAAAACCCATTCTGTCCCAATGTGGTAAATGAGCCTCAGACAGAATCCTGGCTTCTCCTTCTTTGCATTCCAAGGATAACAGCCCTATCAGCTCTTCCTGGCAGCCTTTAAATCCCCTGGCATATTGCTTAGATGCCATCTGAAAACATAATTGACTTCAATATTTGTCAAATAAGATTCCATGAATGCTTGATTCTTCTGAGCACTTGCAGGAACGCCTCTATTCCTCTGCCAGTCTCTCGTTACATCTTCATTTTGGCCACCTCATAAAATCAGCCTCATAAATATTTTTCATGCGTTATATAAACCAACTCCACTCCCAACTGCAAGTGGCCGAGCTTTTTAGAAAAACACAGGGAAACATTTGTGGAGAGGAGCTGTTATTGGAAGCATTTGGCTGTTCTGCAAAGAGAAATCACTATTAGGTGAGGGTTTCACCTTCAACTATCCCCAAGAATAACACAAACCGCCCGACTGACAAATCGGCAGGATTATAGCGTATTCTCCTCATCTGAATCTAGAAACACAGCTAAAACATCTCTTTATAAAGAATATGATCAGACAGTAGGCTATTCATACCAAAATACAATAAAATTTTCTGTCAGTTTGTGATCAATTTAGAATCTAGCATTGTTTTTGCATCATATTGGGCCCTTAACGCAAGTTTCACAAAGGGAAAAATGGTTGGCGCGCCCAGCACATGATCTGATCTAAAAGGGTTGTCCTTGTTCTCTTAATGAGTAATGGGTGCGTTTTAGGCGTTACGTACAATAAACCAATCAGAAGCCCCTTTGACACAGCGCGTTGATCTCAGGAAATTGCCGGGAAATTGCCAGAACGCCTTCTGTGTGAACGCAAACACGACCCGGGATTGATACCGGGTTGGGGACCTAGTAACATTGCTGGGATCAGTCCCGGAACGCGCGCTGTGTGAACAAAAGCCAGGGCCAATGCCGTAAGGTGTATGTCATAGTGATGACGCTCGTGCCATCGCGTGACTCTGTTGCTCTTAGAAGAAAGTTTGTGTTCGTCATCAACAAAGAAAGGACGAACAAATACCTGAAAACTGGAGGGAAGCAGAGACCAGGAGCTCCTCACTATCCGAGATGCTGAGATCGTTCACTAGCTTTGTGGAACGGTATGCGCGTGTACATGTTTTCGACGCGTACGTTACACGTCTCATCCTGACGTCATGTGTCTTCCCGGGATTTTTACGGGTTGTGTGTGAACGCACTCACAGATCCCGGCAAATCACTGGCAGTGTGAATGAACCGAAATCAAACAATCCCGGGTCACATTATCCGTGTATTTTCCGGAATCTCTGTGTGAAAGGGGCTAGAGTCTCATCTACCATTTCTTTTAAAAGCCAGTTGCGTTCGCGCCATGGCGAATTCGCTATTTACATGGCGGAATTTTCAAGCGGAGAAACTGAACGCTTCTCTAGCGAGGAAACGAATCTGTTTGTGCATGAGATTTAAAAGCGCATGACCATCTACGGGACAAAGTGTATGCATGTTGTGGACCCACCTATAGGCTTGTATTACTAACGCGCTCTTTAAAGGGATGGTTCGCCCAAAAATGAAAATTAAGTCATTCATTACTCACCCCCATTCTGTACCAACCCCGTAAGACCTTCATTCATCTTCGGAACAAAAATGAAGATATTTTTGATTAAATTTAAGAGGTGCTACATAGGCTCCTAAGGGATTGAAACTTGACGGCCCAGTCGCGCATGCGTCGTGGAAATCTCTTGAACTCTCGTCTTAGGCCTACAAGGAAGAAAAGGAACAGTCAAATAAAGTCGTTATTTTTGTTTGTTTTTTCGCACAAAAAGTATTCTCGTCGCTTGATAAACTTATAGTTGAGCCACTGTAGTCACATGGAATATTTAAACATTGTCTCAATTACTTTCTGGGCCGTCAAGTTTCAATCCCTCAGGCAGGCTATGTGGTAGTGATCCAACTCTCAAATTTAATAAAAAATATCTTCATTTGTGTTCCAAAGATGAACAAAGGTCTTATGGGGTTGGTACAGCATGGGGGTGAGTAATTAATTACTTAATTTTCATTTTTGGGTGAACTATCTCTTTAAATAACAAAAATAAATAAATAAATAAATAAATAAATACTGCGCCATTGACTTTAGACCAGGTTTCAGTTGATCAATATATCAATGCGCCTGAATACACCTCGCTTTCAGACCAGCACACCCAAGGGCGCAAATGCATTTGCTATTTAAACACTGTGACTCAGGACAAGAAAATGATAACTGCGTCGGGCTGAAACTAGCAAAGAACACTTGCGTCGCGCCTGGCGCTGCATTGCACCGGGTGTATGATAGGGCCCATAGTCTGGAAGCCCTGGAGTCCTTAAAATGAACTGAACATATTGATTTTAAATGTACTTTGAAATCCCACATATTGTTCTAACAGTTGCTTTGCACAGAGATGAGAGGAACGGAGAGCTTTATACGACATTACATCAGTTATGATGATTTAAACAAAAGTGCCATACATGACGTGTTGTCTGAGAATCTGTTGCCGGTGGAAATGCTGAATTGCAGACCACCAAATGACAAAAGAGGCCACACAAATACTACATTCCCAATCCCAATAATAATAATAAAAAAGACTTTTATGACGAAATCCTTCTGTGCGTGTGTGTCTGTATATGTAAAATGTTAACATAATGATCTCTGGACACAAATCAGTTGCTCATATGTTCAGAAGACCGCCATTCCAAAACACTTAATTTGGAGGCATTTGATCATAGGACCAAACAGTCAATAAATACAAACTCCATGGCAGATTATTGCAAAGCCACCATTTCAATCACTCGCAAAAAGGGGAAACGTGTGTAACAGTTCACAAATCAGTTTTTATTAATTTAAACACAATCAAATAATAAATGTCAAAAACATCTGTACACATCTTTTTTTGTAGACACAACAAACTGTGTTTCACAATGAGGCCCACATATTGTAAATTATTTCCAGTTTGCATTATGATTGCATCATTTATTTAAAAAAAAATGCTGTGTTAAATCTAGAAAACATCTACTGTTACCATGATCTAGCAGCAAAATGTGATTCCCCAGTAAGGGGGGATGGCGGGCGACGCAATAAGAAGGGGTGAAATTGTAAATGTGGTGAGAAAAACTAGGCCAGAGAAGACGACCTCACCTGCAGGAGTCGAACATCATCATGTGCCGGGAGGGAAAATTAGAAACAGATCAAGTTAGCTGGGGAAATTCACAGTCGATAGCACATGTATGTTCTAAACTCCATTGTGAGTGTGTGTGTAGGTGTGAGTGAGTAGTGGCTTTCTTATTTTTTAAAGTCTAAGAGCTAGAGTTTCCAGTCCACAGTTACCTTAGAACTACCAATATGCATCATGAAAATCCAACTACAGTGGACTCAATCAAAATAAAAAGACTACTTCATACAAAAATTACACTTGCTGTACAAGACTTTCTGCTTTAGCGCCAGTACAAAAGATAATAAAACCTATTTAAGCTTAAACGCCCGGTTCAACGTCCAGGAGATAGTACTGGGAGATACAGACATTTACACTCAGTTTGAAGCTTGACATTCAGACGATTATTATTCTTATTATGCTGTTTATGTTCTTCCTTGGGAGTTTGAGCTACCGTTGGGAATTCATTCACTCTATCCGGTATGAAATTCTGACAGAAAGAGTCGCATTTCATTGTGGAGAAAGTCTCTACAAGTTCTCACCACCAGAAGCGCACAAAGGAGGAAACGAAACATCACTGAAGAAAAATACGAAATTATTGACACTTGACATCCATGCTTTTGGTCATGACAAAACAATTATCACAAAAACAAAAAAAATCCTTATCTACATTTATTTATTGAATGAAACCTCGAACACGTCAACACTTTCAGGCTTTGCACGAGCTACTGCGGGCAACGCCTTTACGGACTTCCATGAAGCGCTTTCTACAGCATGTACCTTAATCAATATAGGAAAGAATAGTCCAGTGATTACAAATTTACACACAAAAAAATGTCTGTACACGATTGTCTCTGCAATGTAAATAGTGTTTTGTTAAATTTTTTTTCCTTAAATTACTTAGAAAATCCTTTTTTTTTTCTTCCATAAACTTCTTGGTGTAGTGGAATCAAAGTACTTTGTAACGCAAAAAGGCACAAGTCTCTTAAACAAAGCGCCTTTTTTTGGGGGCCCGGTGCCTCTCCACAAAGTCTCTCGAAGATTATAAATAAGAAGAGCAGGACATCCAGGACGACGGAGCTGGAGAAACGAGAAAAACGACGGGGCCGTGTCCGACTTTCTTTGTACCATCGATTGAGAAAGACGGAGACGTAGAGACAAAACATTACACCAAGTCGCAGTGGGATCGGAGTCCTGCTGAGTTCCAAAGGCATCGGTAGCTCAGTTTTTGTCACAGGTGTGAACCCTTGCCGAGTCCCCCGCGTAGACAGGGCTGTAAAACATTTTGATGGCTTTGGAAAAAAAAGCCAATTCACAGTAACCAGGGCCAGCAGCTGCAGCGCCATAAATTCACTCTCCTCCACTTCGAAAAAGGTTTAGGGTTAAGACGAATTGCGGCCATGTGTCAACACGCTGAGAGAGTCGCTCTCTCTACGTTGTGTGTGTGAACGATTTTGTTTTTTGGTCTGGTGCTGTTGGAACGCAGACGCTCGGGCGACGAAGCAGGCTGACGGTGCTGGGTTTGGGTCTTCAGGGCCCTCGCACGCCCTGGGACAGAGCCGTCACAGTGCTACAAGTACTCCAGGTCCAGAGCGTGGTGAAGGGCCATGAGGTCAGAGTGACTAGAGATCCTCCAGAAAGGCATGTTGTGCTGGGAAAGATACAGAGAGCAAGAGTGTTTGAGGGTGAAAGAGAAAATAAAGAAACACAAAACCTGCAACGAACACTTCACTTAGAAAAACAATCACGCCCATGAGTGCCGACTGAACAGCCTTGATGGCCCGTAACATCACGAGACTCGAGAAGAGGAAGGACTTGCAAACTACAACCACTGAAGTAACACAGTCTCATCCCAAAAAGTCATATAACTGACGTTTTGGGACTTATTTTGACCATACGTCAATATCAGCCTTTTTAGGGCCCCCTTAAACGTCAGTAGATGGCGATCCCGGGCCGTCATACAACTGACGCTTTACCTTTAACGTCAGTTAGGTGACGGGTTAGGTTTAGGGTTAGGTTTAGGTATGGGGTAGAGTTAGGATCCCATAACCTCATCTACCGACGTTTAAGGGGGCCCTAAAAAGGCGAATATTGACGTATGGTCAAAAGACGTCCCAAAACGTCAGTTATATGACGTCTTGGGGTGAGACCGGGTTGACTGAAGCGACACCATTCCATTGAGGTTACTCAGTAAATATCACTTGAAATAATAGGCTAGTAATAATAAAAAGATCAAATTTGGACAGTTAGCATAATGACATACTGTATAAACAAATAAAGCAAAATCTGTTATAAAACATGCAAAGTTCTTAGTAATGTAGTTTTTAATGTAGTAACCGACCACGTGACATTTTACATACTGAGCTAATTTTGCCTTGTCATAAAAAGATTAAATAAGATCTGATATTTTAAGAAACTTGGACCTTGACATATAACCATTACGGAAGAGGATTAGGGCCAAGCCTCGATATTTAATGAGTTTGTTCCCATAAGATTGTATATCAACTTTTTTCAAGAAATTTAACGAGTTTAATCTCGCATTATAATGACTTTAATCTCGTTATTTAATGAGTTTATTCTCAAGATTGTATTTAGAATTTTTTCTCGAAATTGAACGAGTTTAATCTCGTATTATAATGACTTTAATCTCGATATTTATTGAGTTTATTCTCAAGATTGCATTTTGACTTTTTTTCTCGAAATTTAACGAGTTTAATCTCGCATTATAATGACTTTAATTTCGAGATGTTTTTTTTTTTATTATTATTGCTCGGCCCTAAAAAAGCGAGTACATCGCGCTAATTGGACTGATTTTTCCTTCTAAAAAGACTTTAGAATTCTCAAATTCTCTTCAAAGTTCGTATGCTAATTATTATTCTGTCAAAGGTAGCTAAAGTCGATAGCATTTCTTTGTTACTGAAAGAAAGTCTAAAATATAGCTTGACTAAGCGATCCAACTCTGCCATGTCCTCTATGGCTATGCTGTGAACACTGATTTCATTTCGACTTTTTTTTTTCTCAAAACAAGACTTTATTCTTGAAATGTAATTTGTTTATTCTCAAAATTGTATTTCGACTTTTTTTCTCGAAATTTAACGAGTTTCTTCTTGAAACACAACGACTTTATTCTCGATATTTAATGAGTTTATTCTCAAAATTGTATTACGACTTTTTTCTAGAAATTTAACGAGTTTAATCTTGCATTATAATGACTTTAATCTCGATATTTAATGAGTTTATTCTCAAGATTGTATTTAGAATTTTTTCTCGAAATTGAACAAGTTTAATCTCGTATTATAATGACTTTATTCTCGATATTTAATGAGTTTATTCTCAAGATTGCATTTCCACTTTTTTCTCGAAATTTAACGAGTTTAATCTCACATTATAATAACTTTAATTTCGAGATGGTTTTATTTTTTTTATTATTGCTTGGCCCTAATCCTCTTCCGTAAAAAAGCGAGTACATCGTGCTAATTGGACTGATTTTTCCTTCTAAAAAGACTTAGCCACTTGCAGATTCTCTTTAAAGTTTGTATGCTAATTATTATTCTGTCAAAGGTAGCTAAAGTCGATAGTATTTTTTTGTTACTGAAAGAAAGTCTAAAATATAGCTTGACTAAGCGATCCACTGATTTCATTTCGACTTTTTTTTCTCAAAACAAGACTTTATTCTTGAAATGTAATGAGTTTATTCTCAAGATTGTATTTCACATTTTTTTTCTCTAAACTTTTTCTCGAAACACAACAACTTTATTCTCGATATTTAATGAGTTCATTCTTAAAATTGTACGACTTTTTTCTCGAAACTTAACGAGTTTAATCTAGTATTATAATGACTTTAATGTCGAGATGGTTTAATTTTTTATTATTGCTTGGCTCTAATCCTCTTCCGTATTACCATAAAGATGTTTCTGCACGATAATTTGGCAGCTAAATGTTTAAATATTAATAGGCAGTGAACAATTTAGATATAAAAAACATAAGAATATTTTTTAATACATTTTAAAAGTTGTTGAAAAAATGTCATCAAAAATATGAAATATTTTAAAATAAACAAATTTATGGAATCCCCATAAACCCCATAATACTCCTCAGTAAAAAGAATCACCAGGTGGGAAATAAAAACTATTAAATGCTCTCCGCACAAACTTATCCGGACACAACGCTGCAAATGAGGCATTGTTCCTGGGAGAGGCCACAGGGAAATATGATTCTGCCAGAATGAAAGAAGCTTGTCAGCTCAGAGACGTCCACACACAAACCATTACTGAGTCTTATCAAAGGTATAGCCTCTCTCAGGCATATGTTCCGCTTAGAGAAGCTTGCACTGACCCTTAAAAGACTCTTTTCTTTTGTTTTGTAAATTGTCTTTGCTTTTAACTTTAAAAGCCAGAGATGGTATCTCCCTTTGCCTTGGTCGGTTATTAACTAGAGGGGAATTGTTTCTGGGATACGATGGAAAAAAAACGAAAGTATACAAAGATTTGTCTTTGCTTTGGTGGTTAAATACAATGTCACCCTTGACACTAGCGTTGTATCTGACAAAACTGCAGGCTTCATAAGTGCCAAGGACTTATTAAAATCCCCCGTGGAACATCTAAACACTTTTTTTTCAGAGGAAATGGGGACTGACATGTAAAACTTAAACTTGGTGTTGACTTCCTACGCTCGCATTCCTTCTATGATTAATAGACAACATGGAACTAATCACTTGGCACAATATAATAAAGAATCACATCAACACTCATTCATCTGTTTGCAACCTGTCTGAACAACAATCTGCTTTGATAATTACATGATGAATAATTTCAGGTTTTGTGGTTTATAGCTCTGGATTTACATGAAAACTTGGCAGATGTTCTGAATACACAGGCAGCAGGTAACATAAATCTTCTGGTTTGAACAACATGAGTCGTGGAAAACAACACTAAGGTGTTTGGCTGCCCCTCTGACGGTTCTAATGTTCTTCTGAATATCCTCAACTTATCTAACAATGCTTTAAGCCTCTCAAACGCATGTTATATTTATGAAACGGGCTCTCTAACATGCCTGAGAGGACTTGTCTAGCATTACAAATGGTGAAACAGCACAGTCTCATGCAGGGACGTGTAATTATGTCATCTTGCCTCCCTTTACATTTGAGCTGTCAAAAGAATTGAGCTGATTACAATGTGAGATTTATTCTCTCGCTGGTCCAATGGCATTTTTTCAGAGAATGGATTGAAGGTTTGAAGGAAAAGTGGTGTAGAGTTCTGGGTGTCTTCGTACCTTTTTCGACCCTTGCTCCTCCTCCACACCGTCCCCCACCACCACATAAACAACTTTCCTGCCGAACCTCTGGATTACTCTCTCGAAGCAGCTCTCTTTTCCTGGGGAGAGGAGAACCAGGTTAAGCAAAGAAAGCCACATCCAAGACCAAGCCCCGGTGAAGGGGCTCTTTAAATACGCCATAAGTTACACAAAATTACGCAGTGTAAACACTTTGCCTTGGGTCGGAGATACGATAAGATCGATGCTAAGATAAAAGTAGTCTGAAAAGCATTAAGTGTGTCTTATTCCTCCCAGAATGTGAGACAAATGGCTAAAACAAGCCAAATCAACCTCGCATGCAAATGCCGCAGCGAGGGGAGGTGCAAGAGCTTTGCGCAAACGAAAGTACGAAAGTAAAGGTCGGTGTTTATTTTGCATTCGCAAAAAGTGCAGAGGCCGAAAAGAAGAAAAAAAAAAAATGGCAAAGTGGAATGACATAAATTTGCCGAAGTGGTTTCATATGTGGACCTGAAAAGGAGAGGCCCAGTTCAGGCTGAGCTCCAAGAAAATAATCCCAGCCTGATTAGACCTCTTCCTGAACATCAACCCTCTCGTGTGTCCGCCACTTCTGCAGCCTAACCCAATCACACGCCATGTGTCTTGCGCTGTTTACACATAATATCGTAGTAATTACGGCCACACTCCAATAGAATCCATTCACACACAGGTAGTTAATACAGAGCTCACGCTTACCTATTTTCGTGGCGCTATAAATGTTTTCAATTGGAAATACTACTCCCAGTCCATACAGAAGGACCTTGGCGAGGGCAGGTATGAGCTGTGTTGTGGTCACTAAGATGTTCACACAGTTTGATCTGTAAATGAAAGGCAAATTATGTCAAGTTAAAGCAGACAAGGGAGGACAAGTCGAACAGGCGTGCCATTCGTCATCCAAAACGCCCCGTGATAAATGGACCTTAAATTCTTGCAAATAATCGGTGCCCTAAAATGATATTTTTGTTTTAAAAAAAAATAATACAGAGAATAAGTGTTCTTTGAGGTATTGGGGTATAAAGAGCACCGTTATTCATGCCTCTCCCTGATTTATGTGTATCAGTGATGGGCTCTATATAATTCGCTCGTGCTAAGGCCTACCTTGAGTGGATTAATGTTAGTGCTTTCAGTGCCAGTGTTAACCAGGAGTCAGTCAGGGCTTCAATTTCTGCTCGCAATTGCAACCAGGCTTCCCTTTTGGCCGGGCCAAGCAGACCTGAAATGAACAGAAACATTGTTTGAGTTGGACCGTCCTGCGAACACTTTGAGAAATTTAGAAATTTACCCAGACCAAGTGGTTTCTGCATAAGGGATTATTTGAGAAACTTATGAGTGCTTTTGTTGACGCACCACCCCTCTTCCCCAGCAATTTTAGAAAAGCAGTTTATTGGGGAATTACCTCCGACGTTATTTTTATAGGTGGTGTAAATTTCTTTTACTCGTCTGTAGCGGAAGGCGAGCTTTCTCATCCAGTCCACACCTCCTCGTACGCCGGTGGCCAGGCAGAGGTTGGCACTAGTGGCAGCAGCGTGGAATCCGTCTGTGCTAAAATTATATGTGCTGAACGGAGAGGAGAGAAAGAGAGAGGGATCTTGTGCTCGACTTCAGCCAGAGTGAACTGTGAAATGGCTAGTATGATGCCAACTCTACCTTAGATCCTGCCCGTTGTCGTCCGAAGACACGTCGTCGATATGGACTTGATCGCATTCCTAGAAACAAGCAGAACAAATGACGGTGAGCCGATAGGAATTCAAATATACCAATTGGATTAATTGTTTTCACGTGCGAAATTTGGTTCGATTTGGCAGCTTGAATCCATGAAGTGTTGAATTCCCAATTGAAAGCTTTCTCCTAAAAGCTCAAATCAACCCTTGACCACTTCCAGCCCCTAACCCCCCACCTGCTAAATCTTAATAAAAATAAACGCCATCATCAGGGGACCAGGGATCCAACCCATTTGGCCACTACCACTAGGGGGATCTCTTGATATGCACATCCGCTGGTACGGGAAGTCGATTGGGACGGGATCGGTAGACTCCGGGAAGGTGGCCTCTCTGTGTTAGGTCTGCTAGTCCAAAAGACTGGTGCCTGAACAAAGAGATAGCTGTGGGATAATGAGTGCGTCTGTGCCCCCTTCGGGGTCTCCACTTCTTGGAGAGGCTGAATGATTCTACAGCTCAAAGCTGATTCAGCCAGTGTACACAGTAACACAAACCAGACTTTCTGGTAAATGTAACGTACTAGAAAAATTGAACCTGATGCTAACCGCCAATGAAATTATGACCTCTGATTGCTGCTGAGCCACACACCAACACAGCCTGAGGCCAGCTTTTTGGAGAAAGCAGACTGAAAATCTGTTATTAGTTTTCCATTTATAGTCGTCCTCTCCCACCTCCCCTGGCAAGAGCCCTAGATATTAGTGAGCAGGACCTGAGCATTCGAATCAAACAACAATCACATGGAAAGACAGAGTTGGTGGCTCGGGGCGTTCCAAAAATCGTACGCGAAAAATAAAATAAATAAATTGATTAATTAAAAATAATATATATATATATGTATATTATAAATTAGCTGACCACCATTCACCATTCTCTGGTAGGAGAGGGTATTTCCTTTAAGCCATTCCTTAGAATTTCCTTTCCCAAACATTAAGCCTTTTAATTAAGTTTCAACTGCCTGCTAGGACACAAAAATACAAAAAGGACTTCCTTGTTTTAACTCAATCTGAACCTGGCCAAAAGCTGACGTTATTGCATTCCTGTCTAATGCTACAGCAGGGTAGGGGTAAGCGCTTTAGACCGTAAACCTTTTTTATTTTACTGGTTCCCCTCTGAACAAATTTTTCATCTCTCTGGATTTGTGGGGAGAGGGAGGGGAGAACGACGTGAAGAGAAACTCAAACCAGCTGTTCTTTAACAGAATTAAAATCTTGACCCCCAACCCCTGCTCTAATGCAGCCATTCTCTCGCCAAGCCTCTCCCAGCAAGCCTCGAGATCCAAAGAGGAAAAGACTTTGACCTGGTGCCCCGCTCCTCCTCTCCAGGGCTCCGCAGGCTCAGATAAGGGGGAGGGGGGGCTGGAGGCGGGAGGGTTTGTGGGGGGTGACCTCACATGGAGAACTCGGAGTGTTGCGGGGCCAAAAGATGGACTGCCAATTGCAGCCACGGCTCAGGAACACCTCCAGCTATTTGTGTAATCTGTTTCTAGATAGTCAGCAGTGGATCTGTAATACTTCTGAAGTACCAATTTGTTTTTCAAAGAGGACCTTTGGACAGGCCAAAATCATTACAGAAAGCTGGGGTTACAGTTTACAACGTTTAATCCTGAGTATTAACTGTTATGATGACAAATGCAGTCCCTTTCTGATCAAATAAAACATGGACTATTTGAAATACTTCCAACCAAGATTGATTAAAACACCCGAACCATAAAAAAACAAACAAAAAAAAAAACGTTCCAGCAGTTTTGCGCTTGTTCAATTGTGCGCAGCTGTCTAGGTCTCTCGACACGTTACCATCTCCCTTTGACGGAATCACCGCATGTTTACATTGCCTTTTAATTCTCTGGTTATTACGACACACAATTAACAGTCTTGTTGTGGGCTTCCAGACCTCCGGGATGAAAGTGAGGGCAGAGAAAGAATGCACAACCTCTAGCAATTACTGCACACAGCTGGAGCCCACATAAACCACTTGACTGCCACTCTGGTAGCTGCACCCGGACCCTAATGGAGCCGCCCGGTCCTAATGTCTTACAGTAACTCATGAGACTCATTAGGGCAGCTTCTTAAGCGCTCGTAAACACCGTTAAGCCTAATGACCGAGGATGGGCCAGCTTTAAGTGGTTAAATACAGCATGTGGTTGATCTTTAAGGGTGGCTGTCTGAAGGTATCTTCAAGAACGGAAGAGATATTGTAAATATTGCTTGAGGTATAGGACAATTGAGCTGGTGCTAGGAATTCAATTGAGATAATGGGGTCAATGATGTATAAGAGAGTTTTCTATTCATGTTGGTTGCATGCTTTTGAAAATGTATACCATTTTCAAGGAAGATTTAGATTAATGAACTGAAAATGTCATGTGGTGTAACCATTAAGTAAAACGTGATATATATATATATATATATATATATATATATATATATATATATATATTTTATAGCTAATTTTAAATAAAAATAATAAAAAAAATAGGGCTGGGCAATGATTAATTGCATCCAAAATAAAAGTTTGTGTTTATACACACATACTATATGTGTGTACTGTGTATAATTATTTTCAATATAAAAAGTCACACACATGCATGTATAACATATTTAAGATGTGTAATTAATATATAAAATATTAATATTTATATTTAAAATAAATAATGTATAAATATATATACATGCAAATATTTCTTAAATATATACATGCATGTGTGTGCATTTATATATACAAAATATTTATACACACTACACAAACATATATTATGTAAACACAAACTTTTATTTTGGATACGATTAATCGCAATTAATTGTTGCCCATCCCCAGTGTGATGCAATTGAAATAAAATAATAATAAAATATTATGCAACAGTCTCATTACTTTAATGATTTTTTTTGCAATATAATATAAGTAAATGTATTAATTGTTGACATTATACCTAGAAAATATAATCAATTAAAAATTGCAAATTAAAATGCATTTTGAATTAATATACAAGAAAAAAATGGTCATGTTGACCCTCAGATGCAAATGAAAGTTGAGTGTGATCCAATGTAAATAGGTCTGTCTTTTCCTCATTGTGGATCTCCTTGTTCACCAAGAAGTGGTTCTTACAAACCTAACATCACTCCTAACTAACACCAGATGTTCCTACTGTCGGCTGTGTAAAGATCCTCCTCTGCAATCCATACATAATTACGTCTTACACAAACACTTTGTCTCTGTTTAATTCATCAATTTTTTGATCCTTCTCATTCGTCACACAATACGAAAGCCCTGGTAGACCAAACAAATGTGTAAATGTGTGGGAAAAACGGTGGGAAACTGCAAGAGAAGCCTAATAAACTACAAAATAAACACCTTGAAATCAGCTCTTCTCTATTTCCATTCACTCGCTCTCATTTTCTTTTCAGTTCCTCCTCTGACTATCCAGGCCTAGAAAAACCTTTTCATTTATGCGAACTATCAGAGCCCCCTTTGTTCAGCTGGCATCTGTCATTAAGCAATCAGGCTGGACTGGCTGATTCTTCCTGTTGGCCAGAGGAAGGGCTTTGCTGCCGACTGCACAGAAGCAAATGCTGCAGAACGTCAAAAAAGAAAATGATTATTTAAAACTACAAACCTCACTTTCTCTCTCGTCCCGAGCTGGAAACATCCGTATTGCATTACTCTCCATGGCTACCTCCGTTTCTCTCCCCCCCCCCCCCCCTCTCTCTCTCAGCTCAAGCTTTCATCCCTGGCCGTGCCTTTGGGTCAGACCCTAAACTTTGCTGAATCTCATTCTGGAGAAGGAACCAGCTCCCCACACAGGTGAGCGGCCCAGGTAACAAAGGCACAGTGTGAGTGATTACAGCCATCATCACAACATTCCTCCAAGCCTACAAGCTAAGTCCATGTGAAAAAGCCCAATCCATGGTTCGCAGGTTCTCAATGCTGCCACTCCATTGGCAGGGTCTGTCATCCCCCGTCTGTGAGGGGGGTTCATGACCCCAGTGTTTGCCCCCCCCTCCCTCCCCTTCACTTTCCCACCACAGTTGGCCCACGAAAAGGGTGAGAGAGGTAAAGGGGAAAGAGGGAGGGTGCAGCTTACCTGTGGGTCGGACACAGGATATGGAGAACAAAGAGAGTTCTTCAGACCCACTTCATTCCAATCCACAGTTTGTGCTTGAACAGTCATGGAATTCAAACAGCCGAGTAAAACAAAGCTCTCGGGAAGTGCGACTTTCCTAAAACCGAGGCTTTTCGCACTCTCTCATAAGAAGATAGGAAAGTGCAGGGGCCAGTTTCATGAAAATCATCTTAAGAAGAGTCGTTCTGAGAAACATTCCTAAGTAAAACTCTTAAAGGTTATCCAAAAGAACATCTCATTCTTTAATTCATTATTTGATTGTACGGTTGTTCTTGCCGAAGACGGTAAGCACAAAAAAGGAAGTCTTTTTATGCTGCCTGTAGATTACCGTAATACTCATAAAAAGCATGCACTCTGTTTTTGGTTCGAGTTGCAGTTGAGTTCAGCACTCAGAATCCCACTTTTTAGGGTTAGGTTAGGTTTGGGTGCCATGTATTTGAAATCTTTGCCTCATGATTGAGCAGAGATGTTGAATTCATTTGCGCTCCGTTATTTTACAATGATTTTTAAGAATTCTTTTCAGCAATTCAAAGCCTTCAAATTTTGTCTTTAGAACAATATTGAGAAACACAAGAGATAATAACAGTCTTGAGAAATGGTTTGGGGAACTAAAATTATTATGTAAATAAGAAGTAAATAGCAGTTTTAAAGAATTTACATATGTATTACATTTACTTACATATGTTTTGTGTGTAGTAAAGTAAACTTGAGTAAAGTAAGTATGATGGTGTAAAGTAATAAAATAATGGAAAATATGGTTTGAATGTGGTAAAACATGGTCTGGTACATCAACACCAAATGTTCCACTGCGTTTCTAACTTCTAGATGTGACGGAAGTAAAAAAAAAAAAGAAAAGGGTTTGTCCAAATAGGAA